GTATTGATAGAACTAACAGAGGGACATTAAAATTTCCAACTATAACAAGAGATTTGTCCATTTCTCCCTGCAGTTCTATCAGATTTTGCTCAGATATTTTGACATCCTCTTTTTAATGCATAAATGTTTAGCATTTTTATGTCTTCTTGACAAATATACCCATTTACCATTGTGAAAGAAACTTGTTTAATCTTTAAATAAAACCATATAAACAGTGTGGAGTGGTTTGCATTGTTTGTTTGGTCTCAAAGTGCTTTCTCAGTCTGCAGGATATTTTACTGTCCCTCTTCCACTTCCCAACACAGATATAAATCCCATATAGCTATAAATTTCACATTTAGAAATTCAATTTGCATGTATTTCATATTTTCCATGTCTCCTCTAAATCTGCTCATGCTTTCCTCTACCTCTTAGACATTTGGAAAATAGTTATAGTAATTATTGTTACTAAACTATTGTTTTAATGTTCTTGCCTACGAATTCTATCATCTGTATCATTTTGGGGTCTTTTCCAGTTTATTGGTTTTTCTCCTTATTATGGGTCATGTTTTCTGCTTCTTTGCATGCTTGCTAACTTTTGACTGGTTATAAGACATTGTGAACTTTACCTGGTTGGGTATTGGATATTCTTGGATTCTTTTAAATATTCTTGAACTTTGTTCTGTGATGCAGTTACATTACTTGACAATAAATTTCATCCTTCAGGCGTGCTTTTAAGTTTTGTTTGATAGGATCAGAGCAGCCTTTAAGTCTAGGGCTAAGTTCACCTCGCTACCGATGCAATACCTTTTTGGATACTACACCCAATGTCCAGTATATTACAGTGTTTTCCTGCTGGGTGGTGAGCACATGAACTATTCCAGCCCCTGTGTAAATGCTAGGGATTTTCTGTCTGCTCCTTTCTGATGGCTCTTTCCCTGTCCTTGGTTAGTATCCTCATAAGCATGAGGTTAATGCTCAGACGAAAACTTGAAGGGCACCCGCTACAGATCTCCAAAGCCTATGCACCCAGCTCTTTCTCTCCAGTAGTCTCCTCCCCTGCAAATCCCAGCTGCCTTGACCTCCTCAAATTCATGACTCTGTCCTCCCTGTGCAGGGAGACCACTGGTGTCTATTTGGGTTACCTCTCCCTATGGAACCTGGTAGTTGGCTCTAGATAGTAAACTGGGTGATCCAAGAGTTCATTTCATTTGTGTCCCTTCTCTTGGGGATCACTGTCCTGTGTGGTCTGTTGTCCAATGTCCAAGGTCTATTTTGTATATTCTCCAGTTTTTCTTTTTCTTTTTTTAAATTTAAGGTGGGAAAGTAGATTCTGTCCCTATTTTTAATGTAACGCTACAAATAATCCAAAACAACAACAGCAAAAGCCTATACCTTCAAATGCTTAAAATCTAGCACACAAAAGACCCCTCTCTCCTGACAATGGAAATTTCCCAGGAGAAACAGAATCCCGTTTTCCTAAATGCATCTGACAACTGTTTTGACTACCAAGTGAGAAAGGAACTTTGTTAAAAGAAGATTTCCTAAATATAGAATTGAGTGTAAACAAATTCTACTCAATTTACCACCACAAATGGTGATTACGTCACATGCCTGACTCACCTTCTGTAATTTTATGATGGCAGTTCTGTCAGACGCTGCAGGAGGGACGCTGTAGCCTTGGTCTTTCCCATTTGCACAGATGATACTTCTAGTTTTCACAACAACACAATATGATGTCTCGGAGGCTAAACTGACAGTAAGAAGCCTTGCCAAACAGAAGGCTTTCTACTGCAAAGTGGTGTAACAAGAAGCACATGGCTTTGCAAGGAGCACTTTGCTTCACAGAAATGAGTTCTAAATTATTTCCAAAAGTAAGAGAAGCCCCAAAATCTAGCACTTGATGATCCTCCTGTGCCAAGATGGGAATGAACTTTTCAAGCAACAAAGACAGAAATCGCAGCACACGTGTGAGGTAAGGTCTGTAGGTGGATTCAAAGAGATCAGGAAAAGTCCATTTTCTTCCACGATCAATTTCAAAGATCTCAGTGGGACGTACTCTATACACACATCACCTTAATCGCTGATGTAAGCCTCGTACTATGTTGTAAAAGGTGAATGGTACAAATGTCAAGAAGGTGCCAGAAGCGCCAGAGCATTTAGGAGTCTTCTTTGGCTTTCTCTACAATTTTCATTCGTCCAACAGTTGACCATTTCTATTCACACAGTTTTCTGGAACTGGGGTGGAGAGTGCACTGGGTGTAGGGGAAATGCCCTGCTAGGCAGGTAGGGCCAGATTGAAACCCAACTGGGAAGTACATAAAGGTTGTCTTCGGGGTCTCTATATCTCCTTCTTCATTTGCCCCCTTCCCCTCCCTCAGGACTGACTCTCCCTGCCCAGATCCAGCCCTCTATCTCCATGCTCCATGCCAAGGCTCAAGAAGCACTGCTCTGTATGTCTCCCTTTCCCTCTCATCAGATCTAGTGCCAGTGGCCAACAGTATGTGGGGGTGTTAGACACGCAGGAAAGTGTAGGTTACAGAAGGAGTGGGCAGGTGCCCAGAAGGTGGCCACAGGGTCTGCATTGAGTTTTGGCTTCAGGAACTGCTGCTTTGGATGATTTAAAATAAAGTGGCATCAAACGATCCCAGAGATTCCCATTGTTTCCAGCATGAAGTTGTAAGATTGGATAAAATCTAGGTAGCAAAGCCCCATATGATGCCCAAATGAAGTTATCCGTACATCATCAGTTGGAGGATTAAAACTTGCATATACAAAACAACAACAACAAAAACTTGCATACCCATATTATTTCAGAAAGAAATAAGCCAACGAGAGTAAATAGCTAAGCAAAGCAAGCAATACCAGGGACAGGAGCTGGGCCAAACACCAGGTAGGTGGTAAACTAAACAGTGTCAACACTACATAAAAACTTAGAAATGTGTACAAAATAGCACAACTGTATTTACTGCAGCAATGTTTATAATGGCAAAAAAAAAAAAAAAAAAAAAAAAAAGCTGTAATTAAGGCCCATCAAACAAATGGTTGAACAATTCAGACAATGTCCTCACTCAAAGAATGAGTTACACCTCTCCTAGCTGACCTGGAGGTATTTCACAGCATTTTGGAAAGTAAAAACACAAGACACAGAGAAGTATTTGTATATATAGGTATCCCAACTTTTAAAATTATGCTAATTTTTTAAAGTGAGGTTTTTTGTTTTTGTTTTTAATTTGAGAGAGAGAGAGAGAGAGAGAGAAAGAGAGAGAGAGAGAGATAGTGTGAGCCGGGGAGAGGGGCAGGGGCAGAGGGAGAAAGAGAGAGAATCCCAAGCAGGCTCCACACTCAGCACAGGGCCCCATGTGGGGCTCGATCCCATGACCCTGGGATCATGACCCAAGCCGAAACCAAAAGTTGGGCCCTCAACCAGCTGAGCCACCCAGGTTCCCCCTAACTTTGATTAAATAGGGGGAAAAAGCTTATCTATGTGGATATTGGAGGGGACGTATTATTTTAAAAGATTATTAGAGCATAGAAGAAGGTATAAAATCTATCCTCTGGTTGTTAAGACTAGCTAGTTGGTGTTGGGCTGGAAGGGTCAAGCCAATAATTAGATGAAAGTAGGCCTCTTTCAAAGTCTTTATAATTTTTAACATAAGATGCTCTGCTGTTTATGTAAAATTATACATATAAGCCTGTGTGTGCATGGGTATCTCCCTCTCTGTGTACGTATGTGTGTGTGCGTATATCTATCTACCTATCTACCTATCTACCCATCTCTACCTATGTACCTACCTACATCTATCGAGAGCTGTCTGTCTGTCTGTCTATCTATCTATCTATCTATCTATCTATCTATCTATCTATCTACAGAGAGCTGTTAAAGATTGGTCTCCAAACTTATGGTGGTTATCTTGCCCAGGGGCGGGGGGAGATTCCTGGTGATTTTTTTCTTCCTTGTATGTTTTTCTTTTGTTTGAATGTTTACAAGAACCAGGTTTTACTTATATAATAAGAAAAGAGCAGCAACACTACCACACCCATGTACCTTCAGTGCCTCTCTCATTTCTCACTTCGAACCCCGATGTTTCCTTCAAGTCAGGCCCTTCCTCCCTGGCCCATCCACAGCAAGTCCGTTCAGGCTCTCAGCGTCCCTGATGACTCTGCGTAGGCCCCGGCCTCTGTCTCTCCCCTCTCCAGCCAGTCCTCCACGTGGAAGCCACAGTGATCTCTACGGAACGCTTCTCTGTCCGTGATACTGCCCTGCCTGGACCTCTTCTAGGGCTGCTCAGCACCCCAGGGGCAGTTCTCGGCCAAGGCGTGCAGTGTAATCTCCGGTACCACCCTGCACAACCATACGCACCTCCCTCTGCTCCTCTGCACAGCCTGCAGCTCCTGGCCCTCCTTTCATTTCTCCTAGTGCTTCCCTTGTCCCGCCAATGTATGCCCGTCCCTGAAGACGCACTCAAACCGTGTTTCCTTCTGCAGCCACTCCTGTGTCTCTCCTGGTTTCCCACAGCACTCTGTACCTACTCTATTAGACCACCGATCACTGCTTTTCATAATTTGTTTTCTCTCTCTCCCTCCCTAGACTGTGAGCTGTTGGAAGGCAGGACTACATCTTCAATGTCTTTACCAAATGAATAAATGAAATCAATGAATGAATGAATCTGTAAAAGCAAAAGAGTAAATATAAATGCGGGTCAACCATGTAAAATGCCTGTATAAACAATGAACAAAGCTGTAAAGTAAGTATTTTAAAGTTCTTTTTTTTTTCTTTTCTAGCTTGAGCCACTTTTTAAATTACTGCCAGTAATTCAGCCAGTGAATAATTCATATTCAAGTTACCAAAAGTTAACTACTGTTTCAATCCCTAGAAAATGAAACAGAGAAGTCAGAAAGGAAGCCATTTTTCCCTTTTTAAGTAAAATAAGAAGTTTGATACTGTTCTTCCCACCAGGCTAGTTCTAGAAACAGCATCTCTCCCCCATAAAACACAGCCCAGCTGTGTGGCTACTTACTGGAGTTGAGGAGGACCATGGCCTTGACACAGAGATACTCTTTGTGTTGGAGTTTTAACTCACGGAACCTTGAAGTCGTTGCCAAGAGCATGTCGAAGATTTCCAGAATTCCTTCTACACATTTCCCCTCATCCCTACAAAAGTTTGTTTGGAAATTTAAGAAACATGCAGCACTAGGCAACCAGCAAAAGCAATGAGTATTTTCTTGTTAACCTCAAATTTCATCTTGAACACCCTTTAACTCTGACAAACCGGTAATGAAAGCACATCCAGTGGTATAAAATTACTAGAATAATCTTCACATAGAGAGGAAAGGGAACTTCTATAAATTCTGACAGCAAACATTTGAATGAATGCTACTGAGACAAAAGTGTGCATTAGAAATACATTTTCCTTCTACCTGCGCACCAAATGTTTCCTTAACGGATTGCCGTTTCTGTTGATCATTTTCCTTCCTAGACCATTTCGGCCAACCAGCCCTAGTTACAACACACGTTGCTAAAATGAGACCTTCCGTGATCCCATCAGAAGACTTTGAAGGGCTAATGAGGAAGACTGAATGATAGTGAAACAATCCTTCACATGGGAGGGCTTAACTCACTTCCTGGAGGTCATGTAAGAAACTGGTGGGGCAACTAAGAGACATTTAACGTAACTTGAAAAAAAGCCAAAGAAATCACAATGCGAGAAGACAGATTAGAATCAGGAAAGGAAGGCAGAAATGGAAATATGCACATTTTTGACTTGCCAAGATTATTTTTAAGCAAAGGTTTTAGACAAACTTCAAGCCATATAATCAAAATTCTTTTGAACATTCATAGAAATGAATTTTTATATGCATACTTTTGAAGGAAGTTACTTGAACTGTATCTGGAAAATACCAGCTTCAGTTCACTCCAGCCAGACACACATTATTCTGCCTCACTGCTCCCCCCAAAATCTTCTATTATCATCAGCCATAGTCATTGGAAGCCCTTGACAAGCAGTTAGATGATTTTCCCATGAAACTTCATTTGCTTCTTAACACCTGCAGAGCATGATGAAGGGGAGCCTGGCAGAGGTGGGTGTCTGCGGGTTTCATCCTTAGTCTCCCACGCAGCCCCTGAAGGGAACCTGAGATCTTCAGAGAACTGACTGTTCCCTCTCCTCCTCCCCCCAACCCCAAGCCAGGACGTTTCCAGTGATGGCGATGGCTGGAGAAAGGGCCTCTGCGGAATCGAAATGGAGCACCGATGGCGGTGAGTCTTTCCCACTGGGTTCTGTGAGAGGACAGCAGCTGGCCAGGATCCTGCATTCCACAGCATCCAAACCCTCGCAGACTCACCTGCACAAAGCCACAAGCAAGCAAGCCAACTGCAAGTTGCAAACAAATATGGTAACTTCTGCAACCACCTGAGGCTTTTCGAACATGCACAGGTTAAGTGATAAAACGCCAGTGCCTCCTAGAAGTCACTCATAGGGAAAGGCCACCTTGGAGAATCAGCCCTGGGCAAAGGGTGCCCAAACCGGTAGGAAACCTCCAAATCTCCCCTCCTCCCACCTCCCCTGCTCTGGGCTTTCCCAGGCAGCCAGCTGCAAGTGTCCAGTAAGGACAATGCATGCTTTGCACGTAGTGAAATACCTATTCCCTGAAGGCCCCTCATGCCACATAATCAAATCACTATGCTTGGGGACAATTACTGGAAATCCTAATTGTTGGGCTTGAGGTGAGCTGATGCTGAATAAAACTGGTTCTAAAATGTCTTGGGGGGTCAGGGGCACCTGGCTGGCTCAGTCTTTACAGCATGTTACACATTTGTAATGACTATTTTAATGATCATTTCTTTATTTTTAACAAGGAGAGTGCACGTGCATGAGTGGGAGAGAGGCAGAGAGAAAGGGAAAAAGAGAATCCCAAGCAGGCTCCCCTTCAGCACGGAGCCCAAAGCGGGGCTCAATCTCATAAACTTGAGATCACAACCTGAGCTGGTATCACGAGTTGGACACTTAACCGACTGGGCCCCCCAGGTGCCCTGAGCATGTGACTTTTTTTTTTAAAGTTTATTTATTTTGACGGGAGAGGGGCAGAGGATGAGAAGGAAAGAGAAAGAATACCAAGCAGGCTCTGCACTATCAGCGCAGAGCCCAACAAGGGGTTCAAACTCAACAAATCTCGAGATCATGACCCGAGCCAAAATCAAGATGACTCACCGACTAAGCCACCCAGGTGCCCCAGAGCACTTGACTCTTGCTATCAGGGTTGTAAGTTCATGCCCCACTTTGGGTGTAGATATTACTTTAAAAAAAAATCTTTGCAGGGGCACCTAGGTGGCTCAGTCAGTTAAGGGTCCGACTTCGGCTCAGGTCATGATCTCGTGGTTGGTGAGTTCGAGCCCTGCATTGGGCTCTGTGCTGACAGCTCAGAGCCTGGAGCCTGGAGCCTGCTTCAGATTCTGTGTCTCCTTCTCTCTCTGCCCCTCCCCACTGTGCTCTGTCTCTATCAAAAATTAAAAAAAAATTTTTTTTAATCTTTACAAAACTAAATAAATAGGGGCACCTGGGTGGCTCATTCGATTAAGTGACCAGCTGTGGCTCAGGTCATGATATCGCAGTTCGTGGGTTCAAGCCCCATGTCGGGCTCTGTACTGACAGCTCAGAGCCTGGATCCTGCTTTGGATCCTGGGTCTCCCTCGCTCTCTGCCCCTCCCCGACTTGCACTCTGTCTCTGTCTCAAAAAATGAATAAACATTAAAAAATAAAATAAAATGAAACTAACAAACTAAATAAACAAAACAAAATATCTCTGGGGACAAAAACAAAAAGCCCCCCAAGTCCTTCATTGATTAACAGTTTGGCTCTTCTCTTTGAGACCCAGTCAGTGGTGGGGTCATGCACATGTAGAGGCATGCATACTCACACCACTCCCCAAACAGTATGATAAGAGCATTCATCTGAAATCAAAACCATTTTGTGCAGAGGTTGCCACGTGTACCTAAAAACACATCCCTAAGTATTGAAACTAGTATAATTTCCTCATTAAAATGCATGCCATTTTTTTAAAGTTTATTTTGAGTGAGAAAGCGAGAGAGAGAGAGAGAGAGAGAGAGAGCGAGCGAGCAGGGGAGGGGCAGAGAAGGGGAGAGAGAGAGGATGCCAAGCAGTCCCAATGCGGGGCTCAAATTCATGAACTGTGAGATCCTGACCTGAGCTGAAACCAAGATGGTTAACTGACTGAACCACTCAGGCATCCCAAAATGCTTGCCATTTTAAACACAAACTCATATTTCAAAAATGGAGGGAGGGGCACTTAGGTGGCTCAGTCAGTTAAGCATCTTACTCTTGATTTCAGCTTGGGTCATGATCTCAGGGTTTGTGGGATCGAGTCCCACATCAGGCTCCATGCTGACAGCTTGAAGCCTGCTTGTGATTCTCTCTCTCTCTCCCTCTCTCTCTGCTCCTCTCCCACTCATGTTCTTTTTCTCTCTCTCAAAATAAATAAATAAACTTTTTTAAAAAATGGAGGGAGAGTTTATATTCTAGAGCATCCTAAACCCTGAGAAATGCTATAACTCACTGTAATCAGAACATGTATACCTCATGGAAAAAGTGAATCTCTGAATGAATTTTAAAGAATCAGGTTTGATTGCTTTTATTAAATAGATGTGACAGCCAGCCATTTCATTCAAGGGGTGGCACAGTTAGAATATTTGTATTCACTTCACAGGCTGGAGAAACCAGATAATTTTTGTAGACAATAAATGAGAAATACAGGAAATATGAGACAACACCTCATAAATGACACCCTACTAAAGCTCCGCCTTAAAATGAGTCTTACAGAGGAAGGACTTTTAAATAATAAGTTAATGAGATCTATTACTCTTATTTTATAATTATGGAATGAACTGAACTAGGGGTAAGGAATTAGGATGGGGAACACCTGGGTGGCTCAGTCTGCTGGGCATCTGACTTCGGCTCAGGTCATGATCTCACGATTTGTGGGATCAAGACCTGCATCAAGCTCTGTGCAGACAGCTCAGAGCCCGGAGCCTGCTTCTCATTCTGTGTCTCCTTCTCTCTCTGCCCCTCCCCTGCACACGCTCTGTTTTTCTCCATCTCTCAAAAATGAATAAATGTTAAAAAAAAGTCTAAAAAACAACAAAAAAAAGAAATTAGGATGGGATTAAAAGATTTGAATTAAAAAGAGAGAACAGGACACCCGGGTGGCTCAGTCAGTTAAGCATCTGACTTCAGCTCATGTCATGACTCAGTTTGTGAGTCTGAGTCCCGAACCAGATAAGCTTGAGCCCCACTTCAGGTAAGCACGAACCCCACTTTGGGTGAACACAAGCCCCAATTCAAGGGAGCCCTGCTTTTCTCTCTCTCTCTCTCTCTCTCTCTCTCTCTCTCTCTCTCTCTCTCCCCTCCTTCTACCCCTCGTGGGATTTTCTCTCTCTCCCCCCCTCTCTTTACCCCTTGCTCACTTACATGCTTTTTCTCTCTCAAAAAAAAAAAAAGAGAGAGAGAGAAAGAACATATGATTTGAATGTTAAAATACTGAAACAATCTATCAGTCAAACCAACCCACTCATAAAGACTTACTTTTGCACACCATTTGCCCATAAACTAGGGCTAAGTAAAGGTAAAATTAGTAACTACATGTGGAATGTCTTATTGTGTGATAACCACTCCTTTATAAAAGAAAAAGATTCTATTTGATCCCAAGGACAAAATGTTGAATGAGTGGACCTGGCTTTGGGTGCACCATTTTGTACCCACGTTCGTATCTGGTGACCATAGTTGACTTCTGTGTCAGGGCAACAGGCTGGGGGCTTAAAGCTGAACACATGGAGAAGACTTAAATATTGAACAGAAATGAAAATTACGTGTGTACCAAAGGGAGATGAAATTTTTAAAGTGAAGATTCTTTGGGTATCTTAAAGAAAGTCGACATACAAAAAACTAATGTGAATGCAGACTCAGTACACGCACAATGATACGAGTGCACGGAAATCCATACACATCCACAATGAGGGACGTGCCCAGATCCAAACTCCCTCCCATTTTTAAAAAAAATTTTTTCATGTTTATTTATTTTTGAGAGAGAGACAGAGTGCAAGCAGAGGAGGGGCAGACAGAGAGAGGGAGACACAGAATCTAAAGCAGGTTCCAGGCTCTGAGCTGTCAGCACAGAGCCTGACGCAGGGCTCGAACTCACGAACCGTCAGATCATGACCTAAGCTGAAGTCGGATGCTTAACCGACTGAGCCACCCAGGCGCCCCTGATTTTTAAATAATACTTAACATTAGACCATTTCCTGTTGATGCCAAGGACATGACATGTCTTAGCAGATACGATTTTTCCAGCAAATAAAAGCTCAGATTCTGTGGTAGATCCTCACATGAATTTGTGACTCTATAGTTACCAAGAGAACTACCTTGTTAGAAATAAGCTGAGATAACCGGCTCTTCCTCTCATCCTCAATAGGTCTAAGTTTTCTCACTGCAGAAGCCTCAACAAGAATAAAGGGAAACAGGAATTGTTGCCTCAGTCTCCACAAGTGGGTTAATTTAGTTATATTCACAGCTTTCATGGTCACACCACCACGTGAAGGCACTCTGATAGGACAGTCTGCCAAAAGAGAGCGATTTTTAAGCGGTGTGCAAATTATTTATTCATGTTGCAGAAAAACCTCATAATAGAACTTCTTTGTGACGCGTCACCTCTGACTCTGAATAAAAAACGTTTCAAGCATATTTGAAGCGACAACTCCTCCAGAAACATACCCATCACATAAAACAATATCTGTAATAATAGACGCACAAAAGAATTGAACTATCTTATCTTAGACTTGAAATTCTAGACCTCACAAAGTTTATGTGTTAACAATATTAGAGGTTGCAACAAAAAATAACCACCACAGGCACTACAAAAACAAACAAACAAAAAATGCTTGCTCACTGTGAACGCATTTACGATTCCAAAGGCACCTCTCCTCTACTCAAATATACTAGATTTGTGTGCTGGGCAACACAATACTTTCAAATATTTATAAAAAGTAATGTGAGTCTATTAAAAATCATTTGTAACAAAAATTACTTCTTGTTTTCCTTCTATTACTTAACCGAAAGGTAGGCCTAAAATTTGTCCAGGATTCGTGTCAGTTTACAGTAAATTCCATCCACAGGAATCAAAGAACTCACACAAAGAGGAGAGGTGGTTATACTAAAAACCAGGAACGAAACAGTCACTGCACATAAACATTAAATGCGGCATCAATGTAGAAATCAGGACAAAAGGCAACCACAACCCAATCCCGGTGTCTGCAAATGTATTGATTCAAGGCGTGAAACTTCTTCCTAGCGCTAACTTCTAGGAGAAGTGTGTGTGTGTGCATGTGTGTGTGGCTTCATCTAAACGCCAAGAGGAACATAATGAGTAAATGAACGATAGTGACGGCTCAGCAGGGGGCTTGGCTTTCCAGCCTGCCTTGCCAGATGGTGTCCTCCGTGACAGGAAGAGGAGGAGGTTTCTGAAGTGGGCAGAGAGTAGAATGGAGTTGTCCCAAGATAAAAGAATCAAGTAGAAAGTCACTTTGCCTCTCAGCCTCCTCCTCTTTCCCTTTTCAGTTCTCTGTCCCTCTGAGGGGCATGACCCATTGTACAGGTAACTACTGTCAGAGTTAAGAGCATGGACTTCACAGCCAGCCCCTACATCCAGCTCTACCACTTACTACCCTGTCACCCTGTCACCGCAGGCAAATTACCTGACCCCCCCCCCCATTTCCATATCTGAAGGATAAGGATAATAACGGCACTTACCCATAAAGGGCCGTGAAGATAAAATGAGTTAACACATCAAATGCTTAAGATGGGGACTGATATATACAAGCCAATAAGTTGACTGTTTTGATTGTTACTGAAGGGTCTCGGCTTCCAGAACCTACCTTCTTCTATGGTTTCCAGAACCTACCTTCTTCTATGGTTTAACACCAGGGCTTGCTCCTGCTCTTTCCAAAGGTTCTGTTCTCCACTAAAACAGTGCTTTGTCAACAGTGTCATGCAGAACAAGAGGGAGAGTGTGTGCTAACAACTTAGGGGTATCACTTTTCATCTGTGTAACATGTGCACGGGGGTCTCCTGATGATCTAAACAGGCGGTTCCAAGAGTTGGGGGCAGACATTTTCCATTCATATAATGGCTCCTTCCACACTGTGCACCAAGTCAAATGTGACTGAACATTCTACATTAGAACTTTCTCAAAATAAGGAACGTGGAAATCCATTTCCATGGAGAGATTTTCAACCTGTGCTCAAATGTATTCCAAGAAAGTGTCCCACTTTTCCTACTAACATTTTTAGTGTTGTATATTCTGATTTTTCCTCCATGAACAGTTCACCTGAGTCAATTAAAAATTGGTTCCTTTTCTGCGCCATCTTTAAAAGAAAACAAGGCACAATCGAGTGACGGCATTGGCGCTATCATTCCCCAATTTCCATTACCTTTCGTTTGGCTTTAATAACCATTCCTTCCACTGCTACTGTCAAAAATGCTATAGAGCATACAGTTACAGTCAAAGCACATTAAAATAAACTGCAGATCTGTAAGAATTTTATCACCTGTCCAGGAAGAGATAGGCATGGTCCCCACAAGTGGAAAGAACAGCAGGGCAACTTAAAATTATAAACTGAAAATGGAATTTTTAATGCTGAAAAATCTAAGTTGACCTGCACACTTACTAGCCACATATTCTGCAAGATACGGGCTCTTATAGACTGACCTGTAAATGCCACCCCACTGCGGGTAAGGATAAGTCACAGGACACTGAATCCTAGTACCCATGCTCTCCTTCTTGGGCTCTTGACCTGGTGAGGGAGCTCATGACATTATCATCCTCTTGACTGACCTTTCAGGTGTGAGGTGTGAGGCAGCGCCCGGGACTCAGACAAGTCGGGAGGAGAAACGGGATGCATTTTTCTCTCACCTGTCCAGAATGAGGTCTGGAGCAAAGATGAGCTTGCCGGGGTGGTCAATGGAGCGCCACATGAGCCCCACCATCAGCACCTCCATCCAGCAGCTCTCCAGGAGGCGCACTTGGTCATACAGGCTGAGCTCCACAAAACCTGGGGAAAGCAAGAGGCCGTGAGAAACACCCACCCTCCTCCTCGGCTCCCAGTGTCTGTGAAAACAAAAGAGCAGGTTTTCACAAGCTACAAAAACACCCACGACACAGAGAAAACAACCAACGTTTTAAAGCTGCGGCTACACGCTGACCTAAGGAAGGAAACTCTGAACTCTGCGTGTGCAACTCACAACGTCCGGCCTCGGACTCCTTCTACAGACTTAATACACGTCATCGAAGATTATAAAGGACAGTTACCTGGGCTCACAGCTCCACCCCCCCCCCCCCCCCCCCCCCCCGGACAGATGCCAGGGAAGAACAGAAAGCTGGAACAGATCGTTTTTAGTTATATATTTTTTAAAGTCCTCTGCACTGAGCTGAGATCCAGAAAGCCCTACCTGGGATTTTCTTGGCCCAACCGATCATGTGCACCAGCTCCTTGTCGGCCAGCTTGGTCAGGGACATCATCATGGAGGCCTCGGTGAAGGGGGTGCTGGGGCGGCTCACCAGCACGTGCGGCGGCTCCGCCTCCAGGAGCGTGAGCACCAGCTGCTCGGGGCTCAGGGCGCTCAGCAGCAGCTCCTTCACGCGGGTCACGTGGCCCCCCGCTTTCTTGGCTTTGCTGGCGCAGCGCAGCTGCTCCTCGGAGCTCTTCTGCCTTCGCACGACACGGTAGCCACACCTTTCCCTCCGGGAGCCTAAACCGGAGAGAAGATCACACAGTGCTTTCCCGTGGCTTCGCCAACCCGGCGTTCGAGGCGCCCGAGTCGCCGGGGCAAGAGTGAGGCCGTGACGCCGTGGTTAAGACCCGCGCCTGTCCCCACAGCGTGTCTTAGAACAGAAGCCTGACTTACTTCCTGGAACCTGTGGGGCGTGTACCAGAGATGGGTACATTTGTGACTATATTAGCAAGAGCAAAACGGGACGTTTCAGGGACAGTAGCCCAAATGAACGTAAGGTCTCCTATTTCAAGATTACCTATGGAGACGAAAACGATTTCTCTTTTAAACAGTGTTGACGGGGCGCCTAGACGGTTCAGTGGGTTCGGCGTCTGACTTGATTTTAGCTCTGGTTATAATTTCCTGTTTCATGGGATCGAGCCCTGCATTAGGCTCCACACTGACAGCACCAAGCCTGCTTGGAACTGACTCTCTCTCCCTCTCTCTCTCTCTCTCTCTCTGTCGTCTCTCTCTGCCCCTCCCTCGCTCATTCGTGCGCTCGCTCATCTCTGTCTCTCTCTCAAAATAAATAGAACTTAAAAAAAAAAAAAAAGGGTGCTGACATAACCTCAGATTTCAAACCACAGAATTAGGAGTTTTCTTCAGACAAAAGATAGGCAAAACTTGGGAACTGAATGAACACTGATGTTTCCAAACAGTTATCAAATAATACACTTTTATAATACATTCTGAAAATAGTCACATGAACTTGTGTGTGCTTACACATATACACATGCATTTTTATATATTTACACAAATAAATATATTTCAAGTAATAAATTTTTTTAAATCCTGAAAAATATAGAAAAGCACAAATTTTGGCATAAATTCTTTCAGTTTTCTTTTAATGCTATTTACTTTTGCATATTTCATATACAAAATTTAGATCACAGTGTGCATATACTATTTGAAACTTTTTCTTTTTATTAGAAAGGCGTCATTTTACAATTTAAAAACCTATATAGCATTCTGTTTTATGAATATAGCATTATTTATCTGAAGTGTCCCTTGATGGAAATCTAGGTTGGTTCTAATTTCTTTGCTAGTATTCATATTACAATGAAAATGAGTACCTGTATCCAATAAATTTTATCCTTAAAATAAATTCAAAGAAGTCAAGTTGCTGAACCAAGGCATATACACATTTAAGATTATTGATAGATTACCCTCTAAAACTATTCTAAGATTTTATTTTTAAATAATCTCTACGTGGGGCTTAAACTCACAACCCTGAGATCAAGAGTCACATGCTCTACAGACTGAGTCAGCCAGGGGCCCCCTCCAAAACTATTTTATTGTTTTATTTTTTAAATGTTTATTTATTTGGGGGCACCTGGGTAGCTCAGTCGGTTAAGCGTCTGACTTCGGCTCAGGTCATGATCTCATGCTTCATGAGTTCAAGCCCCACATCAGGCTCTGTGCTGACAGCTCAGAGCCTAGAGCCTGTTTCGGATTCTGTGTCTCCCTCTCTCTCTGCCCCTCCTCGTCTCCTGCTTTGTCTCTCTCTGTCTCTCAAAAATAAATAAACGTTAAAAAAATTTTTTTTTAATGTTTATTTATTTTTGAGAGAGAGAAACAGAGTGTGATTGGGGGAGGGGCAGAGAGAGAGGGAGACCCAGAATACAAAGCAGGCTCCAGGCTCTGAGCTGTCAGTACAGAGCCTGACGCAGGGCTCGATCCCACAAACTGCGAGATCATGACCTGAGTCATAGTTGGACACTTAACCAACTGAACCATTCAGATGCCCCCTCCAAAACTATTTTAAAATGTATAATCCAAATGATACTTTAAGGGGCTTCCTATCTCCTCATAACACCATTGGACATTACAAATAATTTCTAATCTTTGCTAATCTGACAAATGACTAACCAATCTCATTTCACTTTGTATTTTTTTAAACTGCTAGCAAGGTTGACTAATACATTTGCCATATTTTATATTTCTTTTACTTGTATATTGCCTATTTATTTCTTTTGTTCTTCCCCCCACCCCCAGTAACCTATGAAGTTTATTTAGTAACTATAGACAACTTTTCTTATATACCATATTTGCCTTGTTATATAGCTTTTCACTTTACTCATGGTATCTCTCGTCATAAGAAGCTTTAGTACACAGCCAAATCGGTCTTTTGTTTCACATCAAGATTATACCAATATTTTCTTATATCTTCTTTAAGCACTTTTGTGGTTCAAATCTATTTGGAAGTTTATGTATGTTTGTATCATGTCATATTATGTTCTTCAAACAGATGTATAATTTTCCCAGTAGCATTTATTGGATAAATTTTTTCCACAGATTTTTATAAAATGCCTTGTCATTTAAGAAATATGTATAAAGGTCTCTTTTTCTGGATTGTCTCCTCTATTTCATATATGTTTCACATATGTATATATATGTTTTTACTCCTCTGCTGGTCTCAATATATTTCAGTTACTGTAGGTTTATGGGTCAGAAACACAATGGGATAATGTGTTTAAGATGGTGGGGGAAGGGAGAAACCTTCAATTTAGAATTATATTCTCAGATAAACTATCATTCAAGAGTGAGGATAAATTAAAGCCATTTCAGGGGCGCCTGGGTGGCTCAGTTGGTTGAGCGGCCAACTTCGGCTCAGGTCATGATCTCGTGGTCTGTGAGTTCGATCCCCGCGTCAGGCTCTGTGCTGACAGCTCAGAGCCTGGAGCCTGTTTCAGATTCTGTGTCTCCCTCTCACTGACCCTCCCCTGTTCATGCTCTGTCTCTGTCTCAAAAATGAATAAACGTTAAAAAAAATTAAAAAAAAAATTAAAGCCATTTCAGTTAGTCAAAGGTTAAAAAGATATATCACTCATAGCCCCTTTGAAATAATTACTGTTTCTTTGGGATGGAGAAACATGAACCCAAGAAAAGCAATGAAATTCAAGGTGCAATGGTAAGAAACTAAATTGTTAAACATGAGAGGAAACCTAATAAACATAGAATGTATAAAATAATAACAATTAATTTTTGGAGGTATAGAAATAAGGTAGCACCAAATACTGGATAATAACAAATAAGATGAGAGAGGAATAATTTTGGCTACACCTTTCTAAGATTGTTTATTTGGGAAGAGAAACATCAATTAGAGAGAGTGGCTTGAATTCTCATGAATGCATGCTAAAAATAGAACTGTCACTAAAAGAATTGAAACAGAATGTATGACTTCCAAACTAGAAGAGGAAAAATAAAACACTAAAATGGTGTCGGGGCGCCTGGGTGGCGCAGTCGGTTAAGCGTCCGACTTCAGCCAGGTCACGATCTTGCGGTCCCTGAGTTCGAGCCCCGCGTCAGGCTCTGGGCTGATGGCTCAGAGCCTGGAGCCTGTTTCCAATTCTGTGTCTCCCTCTCTCTCTGACCCTCCCCTGTTCATGCTCTGTCTCTCTCTGTCCCAAAAATAAATAAACATTGGAAAAAAAAAAAAATTTAAAATGGTGTCAATTCCAAAAAGGAAAGAAAGAAAATATATGATGAATTTTTTTAAAGCATAAAATGATAGAAATGAATTCAAATATCGTGATCACAATAAACATAAATAGACTAAATTCATCAATGGAGAGCAACTCTGAGATTATATTTTTTTTATCTAGACATAGACTGGTTGTAAGAGATATATCTAACACACAGAAAACTGAAAACAAAGGGATAAAAAAAGATAACAGGCAAAAATTAATGAAATAAATCAGTTACTCTATCAATATCAGACAATGTAAACTGTAAGGCACAAATCATTATTAAAGCCTCATCAGTAGATTATAAAAGGAAGATAAATAATTCTAAACTTAGATAATTCTTATCTCATCAAAACGATAAGAAAACACAACCTATAAATGTAACGTGAAAAAGCGACTGCAAGAAAAAGAGAAATTGACAAATACATTATTATAATGGATATTTTACTTTATTTTTTAAGGTTTTTTAGGTAATCCTTACACCCAACATGGGGCTCAAACCTACAACCCCAAGAGTCTCATGCTCCACCAACTGAGCCAGCCAGGCACCCCTATTTGGGTATTTTGATGTATCTTTCTCAGCAACTGACAGCGTAAACAATAAGGGGAAAGGCAGAATACAGAACATTTGGATTGTACAATTCACTTGAACAAAAATTATCACATACTAGTTCATGAATAAAATTTTAACTAAAATTGGTGTCATATAGATCATATTCTCTGATCACAAGAAATAACAAAAATACAATCCAGGCCCCTATAAAGTTTAGCACAAAAGAATTTCTAAAAACCCACTGGTTAGGAGCACTTGGGTGGCTCAGTGGGTTAAGCGTCCGACTTCAACTCAGGTCATAACCTCGCAGTTTGTAGGTTCAAGCCCCGCATCGGGCTCTGTGCTGACAGGTTGGAGCCTGGAGCCTGCTTTGGATTCTGTGTCTCTCTTTCTCTGCCTTTCCCCTGCTCATGCTCTGTCTCTCTTTCTCTCTCTCGGAAATAAATAAACATTAAAAAAAATTTTGAAATCCATTGGTTAAAGACAAAAATACAAAGCGAAAATTAAGAAAGACATATTATAAGTCAGGATGTCATGAGCATGGGTACAACTTTCCCCCACACACAAAAAAACTAAAATATCTGAAAAATGCCTAGTTTCTATATTCCTACCATTATGTTTGTTTACTAAATTCAGTTGTCCATATTTTAAAAAGAAATATTAGTTAAGAGGTATGAGTACATTTAAATTACTTGCTCCCAAGAAAAGTTATCTGAATTTCTTCTTATCCTTGGCTAATCAAACTAGAAGGAAGGCCTCTATCTATCTAGAGATAACCAAATCAAACTGTTTACTAAAAGAATTAAAAGCCTAAAATATAACTCATTGTGTTAGTAATCAGACATAAAGCAATAGGTATTATTTAAGATCAATTATACCCCCAGGGTAAAAAGGAACAACATGTTTGGTTTAAGAAAGCACCTGTCTGATCACACATCTCCTTTTTGTAGAGTATATGA